AATGGCTGTGAGCTCCAAGGGCATCATTTAGCCTCATCTTCAGGGGGTTGAGAATGAGAATGTTTGCTTGCATTCTTCCTTTCTTTTTTTTTTTTAATATAGCACAAGCCACAACAAATATATTGCTCTCGTGGTAAAATACTTCTCCTTTTGTGATATTTATGTTCCTGAACAAAGCACTATTTAAGTATCAATTAATGATGTCTGTGAGACTAGGAAGAGCAGAGAATATTCTCTCTCTTCCTCTTTTTTTTTCCCCACATAGGAGAAGTGCCACAGCACTGTTTTTTCCATCAGCATCCCAAAACATTTCACCCTTAAATTATTCTGATACCTGGTTAGAAAAGCTGTAGTGATGGACATGGAATTACAAGGCAATTTTGACATCAGGCTTCATCTAGGTCATTTTTCCAGATTATTCTCAACAAATGAGAATTCTCCACTGAGGTGAATGTGCAAACCATTCAGAGGGCTGCTTTTACACTCCAAGTATGTTAGACCAGCCAAGAGGATAGAAAACAACTTTCAGCCAAGCATGAAAGGAGATAATGTTCTTAGGATCTGTTACCTTCCAGAGCAAAACCTTCTGAAACATCCATGAGGTTAAGGTTGATTTTTTTTTTTTTTGCTTGTTTTGCTGACATTTTTAACCAACAACTAGGGCAGTGTAAGAATACTCTGTTCCAATGAATTGTTAATTGTCTTAATGTCTGCATAATAAAAACATGAATCGGTCTTTTCAGGATTGCATTTCTGTCTTTATCTTAATAGAAAATCTAAACATTTATATCACTTAACATCTTGTGTTATTTTGCTTTGAGATAAAATTATCAGAAATATCTGTTTCATACTAACACATAGCCATGTCTGAAGTTTCAAATATCCAGACTGGATTGTGCAGCTTTTTTAAAAGGAAAGCCAGTGAAGTTTCCCTTTTTCTGATGTCAAATAATTTTATTGCAGGCTGCTCTTGCTTAAAAAATGCATAAAGAAAGAAACGAAAACTTCCTTTTGCTCTCCTTCATATCACTGCAACTTGGGCCACTGCCTTTAATGGAATTAGGCTCTGATGCATATAAAATACAGCTCAGTTTTTCAGCCTGAATGTTTGTATCCAATATTCCTATAAATTAAGGTTGGTTTGGTTACATTCCCTTTATCATGTATGGTAAGACTCTGTCATATAATACATTGCTCTCCAGGGTTACTGAAAATCAAAGATGAGTTACCCAAAATATGCTTCAAAGTTGAGCATCACAACTTTAATCTTTGAAGTGCAAGTGTTTGAAAGCATTCACTTTTCTTAATTTTTTTTTTCCATACTGTATGATATAGATCAGTATTTCAGTATAAATTCACCTATTTGTCTGTGTCTCTCTTCCACAGGAATGGTAAACATTATCTCAATCCTGCTTGCAATTTTTGATATCTTCTGCTTGCCTAAAGTGGTTACCATCCAGAGGACACTTTAATCAGTGCTGACACAGTGAACAAGAAAGCTTTAGCACAGCATCTTTCATCTTGACTCAGCAAGATTTCCAGCAGTTGCATTTATACAGCTTTTTGACAAGATGCTTCCTAAGTGAAGCGTTTGCCTTCTGGAGAGCTACACCCACAGAAATTTCATTTTTCTTGATGTCTGTCAATATCATGAACTTTATTAACAAATTCAAATTCAAAAACAATTTCAGTTCAGGAAATCTGTCCAAGTTAGTTCTTGCTTATTTCTTACATATGAGGATATCTACAAAAACACAGATGCTCAACAATGGATTGTAATGGCTATGTATATCTGTTTTTATATATATATATATATATGTATCCATTTCTTTGAGACAAAATAAAATGAAGGAGCTCTTTATGAAGAATTTGCTCTATGATTGTAGGGATCAGTGCAAAGGATTTGACTCACAGTTTCAGAATTTATCATAGCACAATATTATAATAAAGTCCTACTGGCTGTCTTTTACATTACTGCAAACAGAACAGAATAAACAACTTTCTACCCTTTATAGACATCTGATGCCAATTTTTTGCAATCAAATTGCAATACCTAAATGTATATCAAAAATGCTTATTTTGGCCCCTACACTTTTGTATAGGTTTAAATTCACAAGCCCAAATGCCATAAAACTTGAGACTAGAAGAACATGGAACAGTGGCAGGTTACGATCGCCTTTTTCCAGGTAAGACACACAAATATTTAACAGCCTTGCAAAATTGCAATTGCAATTTATCAGCCTAGGAAGACTATCTATTTATCTACCCTTTACCCTGAGGAATGATATTACTTTAAAAAAAGAATGAAAAAAAAAACCTTCTATGAGCAGGTAACATTTTGGAAGTAAAAATAAAAATGAGTTGTGTGCTTGATTGTGGGTTTAACACGTGAAGAAGGGGCTGAATTTAATTCTTGAATGCAAAACTCCATTCTACACTAAGGAACAACTCTTGTTTTGTAGTACCCTAACATGTGTTTCTTCCCTTTTGTTTACATTTACTGATAGGAGCTGTAAGAAAAAAAATCCCATGGCAACTTCCCAGAATTTGAACTATAGTTACACACACACACACATACACCCATGTAGCTCCCCCACAACTATATAGAGGCTATAATGCAGGAATCTTTACAAATTGTATTCATCTGTGTATTTAATTTCACCTAATTTTGCAACAACATTAATGAAAAAGAAGTAACTACTTAAATTACTACACCTTGCTCCAGAAATTTAAGAATATGTTCATGGAAATACCTTCTCTCAACAGGCATGTTAGCAAAAACTTGCTTTAAAAAATTGGAATTCTGTTTCAAGTAGTGAAATGTTTTAGTATTTCTAACTTTTGCAAGAAACTGAAGTTTGATTTTGAAGAATTTTGATAGGCAAGCTGCTTGGAAATCTATTGCTACATATCTAAATCAAGAGTTTAAAAAAGAAAAATAAAGATTCACAGACCTGATTGTTATCTTTTATAAGACCCTGTCTTCTCTGCTTGAACTCTAATTTACTCCAAAGAATTATTCTCACAGGCAGCTTGTTCTATTATGCTCATAAATGGTAAATCGAGACATTAAATATTGCTTCAAACAACTAATTGAAGGATAGAACATTCTTATCCCTACAGCTGTGCACAGATTAACCCCTCCAAAGCTCAGCATGCCCCACCAGGAGCATTACAGACCAACAGGACTGAGAGCTTTCTCTGTGCTTTTTCTCTGAGGCAACTTTAAGTACACTTAGATCATCCCTTACAGGTGTGGTTTTTTTCTTTTTATTTTTTGCCCTGTCCTTGAATACCTGCAATGAAGAAGATTCCCAAACTTTCCTCATCTCAGTTTTATGGGCATCAATCTTTCCCCTTAATACCCAACCTAAAAATTTCCTGATTATTTTTAATTCACTGTTGGGTCCAATATACAATGAGAGTCCTTCAACATTTGCATCAGAGGAGGAGGCACACACACACTGAGAGAGCTCTGAAGGCATTCACAGGCCTGCCCCTGCTCCCAGCAGTGCCATGGAATATTTGGGAGATGCTGAACAAGGTAATGTCAAAGGCAGGTGGCCAGCTGCCCACTAAAAGAAACAGCACAAACTGAGCCTCTGCCCTGCCCAGTTTGCCCTTTTTTTTGGGACAGCAGCTATGCACTGGGATTTAATGTGTCCCAAGGCTTGTGCCAGCAAATTTCAGTGCACCAAAACTCACAGTGAGCAAGGGAACCAGCAGGAGCTACAGCTTCATCTCAAAAGCTCAGGCTGCAGCACTTCAATTCTTCCTTTTCCTTGACACTTCTGCATCCTACCATGACTCCCTCTAGGACCTCTCTAGGATGAACTGAGTTCATCCCAGTGAACTCACAAGGATTTCTGTGTATATATGGGCCAATGCCAATGGTATTTAACATTAAATACAAATAAAAAAGATCAATAAATCTGTACATATATCATACTTGATGGAAAGAGTTTGGTTTTGGAAATGAATGACAGGACATGATATGGTTAATAATTTTTCAGAAAAAAATGGCATGCAAAATGTGAAGGGAGTTTCATAAAATAGAAACAATTTGGCTGTCCATGAAACAGAAAGTAAAATAATTTCCTTTCCCTCACAAAGACCAAAAAAC